GGAAAAACAGTGACACAGTTGAAGGAAGACTGGAAAAACAGTGACACAGTTGAAGGAAGACTGGAAGAACAGTGACACAGTTGATGGAAGACTGGAAAAACAGTGACACAGTTGAAGGAAGACTGGAAGAACAGTGACACAGTTGAAGGAAGACTGGAAAAACAGTGACACAGTTGAAGGAAGACTGGAAGAACAGTGACACAGTTGAAGGAAGACTGGAAGAACAGGGATACAGCTGAAGGAAGACTAGAAGAACAGTGACACAGTTGAAGGAAGACTGGAAGAACAGTGACACAGTTGATGGACTGAAAGAACAGTGACACAGTTGATGGAAGACTGGAAGAACAGTGACAAAGTTGATGGAAGACTGGAAGAACAGTGACAAAGTTGATGGAAGACTGGAAAAACAGTGACACAGTTGAAGGAAGACTGGAAGAACAGTGACACAGTTGAAGGAAGACTGGAAGAACAGGGATACAGCTGAAGGAAGACTAGAAGAACAGTGACACAGTTGAAGGAAGACTGGAAGAACAGTGACACAGTTGAAGGAAGACCGGAAGAACAGGGATACAGCTGAAGGAAGACTGGAAGAACAGTGACACAGTTGAAGGAAGACTGGAAGAACAGTGACACAGTTGAAGGAAGACTGGAAGAACAGGGATACAGCTGAAGGAAGACTAGAAGAACAGTAACACAGTTGAAGGAAGACTAGAAGAACAGTGACACAGTTGACGGAAGACTGGAAGAACAGTGACACAGTTCATGGAAGACTGGAAAAACAGTGACACAGTTGATGGAAGACTGGAAAAACAGTGACACAGTTGATGAAAGACTGGAATAACAGTAATACAGTTGATGGAAGACTGGAAGAAAAGGGACACAGCTGATGGAAGACTGGAAGAAAAGAGACACAGTTGATGGAAGACTGGAAGAAAAGGAATGGAGTTAAATGAGTTGGTTTTACTTCACATAAAGTATTGTTGTTTCAATTATATTAGGGAGATGAGGTGTTTTTTAACAACTTTGAATCAACTGACAGACAGGAGACCTCTCAATACTTCAGGCAGTGAAGTCCAGATCTTTGGACCAGTTATGTACACTGACCTTTGGGCCAGTTATATATACTGATCTTTGGACCAGTTATGTACACTGATCTTTGGACCAGTCTTACACTGAACTTTGGACCAGTCTTACACTGATCTTTGGATCAGTTATGTACACTGATCTTTGGACCAGTTATGTACAATGATCTTTGGACCAGTTATGTACACTGATCTTTGGACCAGTTATGTACACTGATCTTTAGACCAGTTATGTACACTGATCTTTGGATTAGTTATGTACACTGATCTTTGGACCAGTTATGCACACTGATCTTTGGATTAGTTATGTACACTGATCTTTGGACTAGTTATGCACACTGATCCAAAGTGTGTTGTCTAACACTGGAGTGAGGCAGTGTGTTGTCTGACACTGGAGTGAGGCAGTGTGTTGTTTGACACTGGAGTGAGGCAGTGTGTTGTTTGACATTGGAATGTGGCAGTGTGTTGTCTGACACTGGAGTGAGGCAGTGTGTTGTTTGACACTGGAGTGAGGCAGTGTGTTGTCTGACACTGGAGTGAGGCAGTGTGTTGTTTGACACTGGAGTGAGGCAGTGTGTTGTCTGACACTGGAGTGAGGCAGTGTGTTGTCTGGCACTGGAGTGAGGCAGTGTGTTGTCTGACACTGGAGTGAGGCAGTGTGTTGTCTGACACTAGAGTGTGCAGTGTGTTGTCTGACATTGGAATGTGGCAGTGTGTTGTCTGACACTGGAGTGAGGCAGTGTGTTGTCTGACACTGGAGTGAGGCAGTGTGTTGTCTGACATTGGAATGTGGCAGTGTGTTGTCTGACACTGGAGTGAGGCAGTGTGTTGTCTGACCCTGGAGTGAGGCAGTGTGTTGTCTGACATTGGAATATGGCAGTGTGTTGTCTGACACTAGAGTGTGCAGTGTGTTGTCTGACACTGGAGTGAGGCAATGTGGTGTCCATCACTGGACTGTGGCAGTGTGTTGTCTGACACTGGACTGTGGCAGTGTCATCTGACACTGGAGTAAGGCAGTGTGTTGTCTGACACTGGAGTGAGGCAGTGTGTTGTCTAACACTAGAGTGAGGCAGTGTGTTGTCTGACACTGGAATGAAGAGTGTCACGAAAAGGAGCTGGATTTGAGTTAGACATGACAAGTCGTGCCATCTCTGATGTGGATATCAGTCACTTCTCTTATAAAGCTTCTCTATATGCAGTCAGCTCTCTTATAAAGCTCCTCTATATGCAGTCAGCTCTTATAAATCTCTCTAGGGCAGTTCAGTTTTTGTAAGTGCAGTTGAAAATGGTATGGTAAGCTCTTTAGAGAGCTGTATATAGAGAGCTTTTTTTGGCGAAAGCGTCTGAAAAGTAAATGCAAAATTGAATACCACATTAGAGGCCTTCATAGTACCTTCTGTTCAAATTTAAATTCATATTTTTCTGTTTCACTTACAACAAGTCACACTATATAGAAGAACTTTATAATTTAGCTGACTACATATAGAAAGCTTTATAAGGTAGCAACTGTATATAGAGGATCTTTATAAGAGAACTGACTGTATACAGAGGAGCTTTATAAAAAAAATTATACCACATCAGGAGAAAAAACAGAGGAATATCTAACATTTGAGCACCTCTTTTGTAGGAATTTTTCGATAGCCTGTGGCTTCGTCAGTCCATATGAGATAAACAGTGGAAGATGAGGAGGAGACTGAGGTAATCAGTCCCTCAAGCCTGATGGACTGACCACATCAACTCCAAACTGAGGGACTAATTACCTCAAACTCTTTATCTTATACCATTCTTCTCTGTACTGGACTAAGGAATCCACTGGCTGGCAAGACATTTCCAGAATGAATATACCCAGATGTTGCACAAGTGTTGCAGTTTATCATCTTGTGGGTTTTTAAACCATTTATGCAGAGTATCAGGAATTATTTCCTTGTATGTTAATTTTTGAAGGGGTGGAGGGGTAAGCCAGCGGAAGGTCTCGGTCAGATGACCCAAAGATGCAGTGGTGGGTCATCATGTGACTAAGACCACCATCAGGAAACACTTGTCCTGTTTCCTGACCAGTCTTACCTAACCTAACCTAATCTTACCTATCCTAACGTAATGTAACCTAACCAAACCTAACCTAATGTCATGTAACCTAACCTAATCTAATGCCATGTAACCTAGCCTAATCTAACCTAACCTAATTTAACCTAACATAACCTAAGCTAATGTAACCTAATCTAACCTAACGTTATGTAACCTAACCTAGTCTAACCTAACTTAACCTTACAAAGTTTTGTGAATTAACTGCCAATAAGCACACAGTGTGTGTCATAAACACGTCCATCCCAGGTCTTCAGTTCTTGCTCATAGAGGTCATTTGCAGGTATACATGGATGATATTTTGACACCTTTGACCGTAGTTTGTTAAGCGTTTGGTTCACTCTCCAGGAATTATCTGTTGTTTTATTAATTTCAATATATATGTATTTATCCTTCATCAAGAACACAGGTATTGAAGTTCCTCAATGCATAAGTTTTCAAACTTTCCCCTCCCCCCCCCATTTGAATTAGAATTAGCTCAAACTGAAGTTTGACAAAATTTTCTGTACTCAAAATTTAGAGATAATAGCCATGAATGTGTTTTCAAATTATTTTGGGGGGTCACTTTGCCTAGGTGGGAGGTGACCAATATGTTAAATAAATAAATAAATAAATAAATAAATAAATAATTATATATATATATATATATATATATATATATATATATATAATATATATATATATATATATATATATATATATATATATATATATATATATATATATATATATATATATTAGTCAGTAATAAACAACTATCCATTGCTACGTTAATATGTATTGTTTGTGCCAAATATAAGAAGAAATTTGTAAGTTAATGTGTTTGAATTTATAGGTTAATTAGAGCAAATGCAGTATGGCAAAAGTTGCAGTAATGAAACAATTTGTTGCAAATATCAGTCAGCATATTATCTGATACTGAGTCAGTTAGCAATATTCATTAATGTATCTTATTAAGATAAGTCAGTGAGCTTGCTTAAGAGGACGGGAGATCTGTTGCTTGAGTACAGACTGCCCTTGTGTTGCTTGAGTACAGACTGCCCTTGTGTTGCTCGAGTACAGACCGCCCTTGTGTTGGTTCCTGGAAGGTGGTATCATTATTATCGCCACAAAGCCTATGGTTGGCAGGCTCTGGCTAAAGCCCTCTTTCTTGTTACTTCCTCTCACTTGCCGTCTGATGTTGGTTGTCGTGAGACCCGAGACAAGCGAGCTGATGTGACCCCCCAATGGCCCATGATTCACCTCACCTTCGCTAACTTAGGTAATTTTTGTTCAAGAATTTCCACCAAGAAGCCGACATTCTGGGATAGTAACTACACCTGATACTGACTTCTTTTTTTTTTCCCTTTTATTTACCTCATTTATTTTTTATGATATAGTGAAACATGTGAAACATCTTTGTGTCAACGTCTTTTGCATTCCTGGAAGAACTGATCAGATATTCTGCAACAGACTAACATGCTATTCTCTCACAGTAACAAATCAGTTTTTTATAAACCATCACTAAACTAATTTGTGGGTGTAAAACTATTATGAGATTATCCCCTATACATATTCATCCTATATATAAAATTCATCGCTTCATTCATTGTTTCTACCCATATTTAGTTATCAGTTAGTTGCCCCAACATGTCGGTAAACCCTTGGATTCCTTTGCTTGTGATCCATAATTTACTGTATTGTCAGTAGTTGAGCATGTGGATGATTGGAGTGTCACGTGTGAGGCCAAGGAAATGGTTCATGCCAGTGCCTGTTGCCATTACAAGCTTGAGGTTGTAGTTATAAATTATAGCCGATGGTCGTTAGTGATCACTAATACATGTGTTGTATTTGCAGATCCATAAAACTGTAGCCACGTCGCCCATCCAGGACGGTGCTCAAGACAGACGCCCAGGACACCATCAAGTCCACCCCCCTAGTCAAAGTCCTAGCAGCAAGGCAGCTCAAGCAGGACCTCAGGCCACTGTGGCTGCAGCTGCGGCTGCGGCTGCGGCAGCAACAGTTGTACAATCCCAAAAAGGTGGTTCTCATGTGCGCTTCTTGGCTGACTACCGATCGGCCAATTTGGAAAAGCAGCGGGCAGATCAAGAAAGCTCCGAATCTGAAACGGAAAACACTACAAATGACGAGGAAGCTCATACAACAGAAAAGTTCCTCCTGCTCACTGATCAACTCTCAGTTGACACCAAAAAACACCTCTCCATTAAGGACATTGGAGTAATCCTCGACCGGCTATCTTCCAAAATAGTTGACGTAGAGAAACTAGATCGCGAAGCCGAGGAAGAAGATTGTTTTAACTGGACAATCAAAGCCACAATCCGAGGCGACACGCTGAGAGAACTTGGTGTGGTTTATAATGGTCACTATTATTCTATTAGTGAACACCCAGGCTATGGACAGAAGAAGGAGGAAGAAGAGGAGGAGGAGGAATCAGCAGATGCTAAGCAGGAAGAAAAGGAACCCGTCTGACTCTCTAAACTATGTTCAATGGACAAACTTATTATTTTGGTTCATTGTTGACAAAGCCAGGCTTAGGAATGCAGTAAATCGACAAAAATATTTTTGTTACTTGTCGAAGGAGAGTAACACTGTTAAGAGAAAACAAGTTAGAAGTGTTACGTGCAGAACGAAAAAGGAACGATTAGAACAGTCTTGTGAATGAGTGGAAGGTTTCAAGACTTCCCTCACTTACAAAAAGAGAGGCAAACCACCCTGGGATGTCTGCAGCAGTGCCGCAACAGCCGCAAGTCCTGTGTTCATTTCTAGTGTACATAAATGGGAGGAGGCGCTGCTACTATTGATGCCGCGTGACAGGTGCTGGCTGTCCCCCCAGTGTCCTGCCAGGTGAGACATATCTCTCATCATGTTAGATGTAACTAATTCAACATTTTATTGTGGAAATGTTTTACTTTCCAGGAGTTTTGTCAAGCCATTACAAACATTACAAGGACACAGAGGATGTATATATAGGTACCATGGGAAGTGAAACATAGATAAAGATAAAGATTTTATTCTTTGTAAAGGTTACAATGTGTAATTACAATTTAGGTTTGCTAAGTACAAAGAAAGTCACTATTATGCTGGGGCATTTTGGGCAGACTAATCCTAATACATAATAACTAAAGTGGAACCCTGAGTTTCGGCCGCCCCGAGTATCAACCGCTTCGAGTTTCGACCGCTTTTTTGGGCTAAATTTTATCCCGAGTTTTGGCTATTGCCCCGTGTTTCGGCCAGCATACCAAACCTGTCCGCCTGCCCATGCCTGTGTGCCTCCCCGCACAGGCGTCGTGAACCAGTCTAGCTTTGTTTATCCTTGAGTGAACATTACCCTGCATGCTCATCCAAACATTTCACAATAAATTCATTGTGTTTAGTGCTTGTTTATTGATTGTGACTGTAAAATAAACCACCATGAGCCCAAAGAAACTTCATAGTGGGAGTGAGACAGTGGTTGAGGCAGTGGCTGAGGCAGTGGTTGAGGCAGTGGTGGAGGCAGTTGAGGCAGTGGTGGAGGCAGTGGTGGAGGCAGTGGTGGAGGCAGTGGTGGAGGCAGTGGTTGAGGCAGTGGTGGAGGCAGTGGTTGAGGCAGTGGTTGAGGCAGTGGTTGAGGCAGTGGTTGAGGCGGTGGTTGAGGTGGTGGGTGAGGCAGTGGTGGAGGCAGTGGTTGAGGCAGTGGTTGAGGCAGTGGTTGAGGCAGTGGTTGAGACAGTGGTTGAGGCGGTGGTTGAGGCAGTGGTGGAGGCAGTGGTGGAGGCAGTGGTGGAGGCAGTGGTTGAGGCAGTGGTGGAGGCAGTGGTTGAGGCAGTGGTGGAGGCAGTGGTTGAGGCAGTGGTTGAGGCAGTGGTGGAGGCAGTGGCTGAGGCAATAATAAGTCCTCCCTCTCTCCTCCTCCCTATCTTCCAGATGCAAACAAGAGTCTTCAATAAAGGTACGTAAATGTTTATTTAAATGTTTATTTAAATGTTTATTTATGTATTGTATTACTCATTTAATACTACAGTGGACCCCTGCCTTACAATATTAATCCATTCCTGAGAGCTCATCGTATGCCGAAATTATTGTAAGGCGAATTAATTTTCCCCATAAGAAATAATGGAAATCAAATTAATCCATGTAAGACACCCCAAAGTATGAAAAAAAATTTTTTTTACCACATGAAATATTGTTTAATACAGACAAACTGAAGAAGACATGCACAATTAATACTCTACTAAGAATAGAATACATGACACTTACCTTTATTGAAGATCTGATGATGATTGATGGGATGGGAGGAGGGGAGAGTGTGGAAGTTGTTATTGTTCAGAAAAAGAATCCCCTTCCATTAGGACTCTAGGTAGCAAGTCGTTTTCCGGGGTTACTTCCCTTCTTTCAATGCCACTAGGACCAGCTTGAGAGTCACTGGACCTCTGTCGTGCAGCATATCTGTCCATAGAGCTCTGTACCTCCCGTTCCTTTAAGACTTTCCTAAAATGGGCCACAACATTGTCATTGTACAAGTTGCCAACACGGCTTGCAGTAGCTGTGTCAGGGTGATTTTCATCCGTAAAGGTTTGCAGTTCAACCCACTTTGCACACATTTCCTTAATCTCTTTTTTCAATTCCATACTAATTCTCGCCCTTTTTACCACAGGGATGGCACTAGAAGCTTTCTTGGGGTCCAGGGTGACTTATTTTGCAGTTACAAGCACTAAAAACACTGGGATAATGTGAAATGTACCGAATGTATGCGTAGATGCAACCGCACTGGTGGCTTGTAAACACTGGTGCTGAGGCCACGCATGGGACACGTCCCGGACGAATCATGTGAGGCGAGTTTTTTAGCAATAGGCGAGGCAAAATTTTTGCATTCAAATGTATCGTATGGTGGATTTAACATAACCCGATGCCATCGTAAGGTGGGGGTCCACTGTATGTGCATGTTTTAAGTACTATTTGTATGTTAAACTATACAGGTGTCCTCAACATTCGTGAGGGTTAGGGGATCAAGAGCCTCGCGAATGTTGAAAAACCGTGAATGTTTGGTGCCCCAATATATTGTAGGGAAATATAATACAATACTGCTTAACTTGTTGAACCATGAACAATCATAAAATACATGAAAACGTCGTAAATTGTACTAAATATATACATGTTATGCTTTAATAACATGTATGTTATTAAATACCACAGACTCCACCACTGCCTCCACCACTGCGAGTCCCTACTACCCTCCCACCGACCCCCGCAACTGGCAGCCAGCCCTCCCACCACTCAGTGTGGTGAGTGTTTTGTTTGTTCATTATTTGCTATTAAACTACAGTATAAATAATGTAAACACATTCATGACTGCATATTGGAATGGCTATTTGAACAGGTATTGGACAGTGACATCATGTGTTTACTCTTGAACACAGCAAAGAATCAAACATTTCTGCTACTGCTAATAATAACAATAGTAATAATAACAATAGTAATAATAATAATAATAATAATAATAATAATAATAATAATAATAATAATAATAAATATGATATAATTGAAGAAGGAAATTGTACAAAAATACGAGGGAGTGGTTGACACATCGTCAGTGTGACTTTGTTTATGCTGGAGTGAACATTAGTCTCCCTGCTCTTCCAAACATTTCACAATAATTCAGCGGTTGAGGCAGTGATAGAGGCAGTGATAGAGGCAGTGGGTGAGGCAGTGATAGAGGCAGTGATAGAGGCAGTGATAGAGGCAGTGATAGAGGCAGTGATAGAGGCAGTGATAGAGGCAGTGATAGAAGCAGTGGTAGAGGCAGTGATAGAGGCAGTGATAGAGGCAGTGGTATTTACTAACATATATGTTATAAATAATAATAGTACATGTTAATATTAATAACATTTATAATAATAATAATAAATGTTATTCATAATGTACTATTATTATTTATAACATATATGTTAGTAAATCTCCATGGGGAAGTGGAACAGAATTCTTCCTCCGTAAGCCATGCGTGTTGTAAGAGGCGACTAAAATGCCGGGAGCAAGGGGCTAGTAACCTCTTCTCCTGTATATATTACTAAATGTAAAAGGAGAAACTTTCGTTTTTCCTTTTGGGCCACCCTGCCTCGGTGGGATACGGCCGGTGTGTTGAAAGATGTTAGTAAATATCACTGCCTCTACCACTGCCTCTACCACTGCCTCTATCACTGCCTCTACCACTGCCTCTACCACTGCCTCTATCACTGCCTCTACCACTGCCTCTACCACTGCCTCTACCACTGCCTCTACCACTGCCTCTACCACTGCCTCTACCACTGCCTCTATCACTGCCTCTACCACTGCCTCTACCACTGCCTCTATCACTGCCTCTACCACTGCCTCTACCACTGCCTCTACCACTGCCTCTACCACTGCCTCTATCACTGCCTCTACCACTGCCTCTACCACTGCCTCTACCACTGCCTCTATCACTGCCTCTACCACTGCCTCTACCACTGCCTCTATCACTGCCTCTATCACTGCCTCTACCACTGCCTCTACCACTGCCTCTATCACTGCCTCTACCACTGCCTCTACCACTGCCTCTATCACTGTCTCTACCACTGCCTCTATCACTGCCTCTATCACTGCCTCTACCACTGCCTCTACCACTGCCTCTATCACTGCCTCTACCACTGCCTCTACCACTGCCTCTATCACTGCCTCTATCACTGCCTCTACCACTGCCTCTATCACTGCCCCTACCACTGCCTCTACCACTGCCTCTACCACTGCCTCTATCACTGCCTCTACCACTGCCTCTATCACTGCCTCTACCACTGCCTCAACCACTGCCTCTATCACTGCCTCTATCACTGCCTCAACCGCTGAATTATTGTGAAATGTTTGGAAGAGCAGGGAGACTAATGTTCACTCCAGCATAAACAAAGTCACACTGACGATGTGTCAACCACTCCCTTGTATTTTTGTACAATTTCCTTCTTCAATTATATCGTATTATTATTATTATTATTATTATTACTATTGTTATTATTAGCAGTAGCAGAAATGTTTGATTCTTTGCTGTGTTCAAGAGTAAACACATGATGTCACCGTCCAATACCTGTTCAAATAGCCATTCCAATATGCTGTCATGAATGTGTTTACATTATTTATACTGTAGTTTAATAGCAAATAATGAACAAACAAAACACTCACCACACTGAGTGGTGGGAGGGCTGGCTGCCAGTTGCGGGGGTCGGTGGGAGGGTAGTAGGGACTCGCAGGTGGCGGGAAACTTGAATATGATTTGGTGGCTGGGAATTTGGTGGTTGGGAATTCGCGAATGTGTGAAGCCCGCGAAAGCTGAAAACGTGAATGTTGAGGGAGACCTGTAGTTATTCTTTAAAAAATGTTTTTTTTGTGAATATTTTTGTTGGTCGGGAACGGATTCATTGTATTTACATTATTTCTTATGGGAAATATTGCTTCGACTTTCGGCCTTTTCGAGTTTAGGCCTAGCTCCTGGAACGGATTACAGCTGAAACTTAGGGTTCCACTGTACTTAAATCTAGACAAGATAAGAGTGGTTAACTTTTATTAAAATTTTTATTTAATCTTGATACTAATGCGAAGTAGTCAAGGTGGAGGTTTATAAGAATAATAATGTTGACGTTGTACATAATAAAAACAATATTACAATTAATGGTTCAAACAGTAATATTTTATGGACTGGCGGATATTTAATAGACTAGAGGTCATATAATATAATAACTCATTTGAAGATGTTTGGTTGGTTTGGTTAGTATTGAGAGATGAGATGATTTTTAAGCTAAGTCCTAAATTTATAAGTAGTCAGGGGATCCTTTACCGGTTCAGGTACTGAATTCCAGATCTTC